TTAGCTTTCAATCAATATAGATGGCCGTCAAGAGTCCATAATGAAACGCACTGCATTGGTGGCAAACACTTCAAATATGCCAGTGGCAGCTCGTGAAGCGTCTATTTATACTGGTTTGTAATTTTTGTTCGGGATTTAATACACGAATTGTATCATTTAAAGACGTTATTTGTTTCTATTTATTCTAGGTATTACACTTTCATAGTATTTCCGTGATCAGGGCAAGCATGTTTACATGATAGCAGACTCCACTTCTCGGTGGGCTGAAGCCCTTCGAGAAATATCTGGTCGTTTAGCCGAAACGCCAGCAGGTGAACATATATGATATTATTACTGCATTCAATACACCATACAATATTACCCGGGTATAAATTAGACTTGAAGACTAGTAATGTCTAATGACAATGAACCTATGCCTAAAGATCGTTCAAATACACTCTTGAATTTTACTCTCATCTTCACACAGTACCCTCCTAATACAAATCAAATTAATTGGGGTGTTTTTGATTTATACCTCGGGTATTGAATGCAGCTATAGGTTAAATAAATGATTTTCTTTTAGCATTACTTTTAATTATTATTAAATCAGATAGCGGCTATCCTGCGTACTTGGGTGCTTGGTTAGCGTCTTTCTATGAACGTGCCGGAAAAGTTACATGTCTTGGAAATCCAAAGCGAGAAGGAAGTGTTACTGTATGTCATCATATTTTAATATAATGGAAGTGTATGTTCATTTTTATACCCAAAACTAATATTATCTTCAATTCGAATATAATAGTGTCTCACCGGCTGGTGGAGACTTTTCAGATCCAGTTACTTCAGCAACACTTGGTATAGTTCAAATATTCTGGGGTTTGGATAAGAAACTTGCTCAACGCAAGCATTTTCCGTCTGTAAATTGGTCCTTGAGCTATTCAAAATATATCAAAGTATTAGAAAGTTACTATGAAAGCATAGAGCCTGAATTTATCTCTTTAAGAGACAAAACCAGAGAAGTTCTTCAAAAAGAAGAAGACCTTTCAGAAATTGTCCAGCTTGTTGGAAAGGTTTGCATATCGTTTTCATTCTTTTAATCTGTTTAACATTTGCATGAAATAAATCAATTCTTTATTAGAGTGCACTTGGTGAAGCGGACAAAATCACATTGGAAATCGCTAGGATCATCAAAGATGATTTCTACAACAAAATGGATACTCTTCATACGATCGTAACTGTCCATTTTATAAGGTGCATGATTGATTTATTGAAAGTATCAGAATATTATTGTTAATAGACAAATATAACTTTCTATATTATAGTTCTATATTAAAGAAGACTTATTTAGTTTTACAGTTCAGGTATGACTCTACTTAGCAACAATTTGTTTTATTTTAAATCCTTAACTTTTTATTTTTAAAAAAAATATAATATACAAGAAGTATCTACTTTATGTTCTAATCAAAAACATAAACTTAATAATATATAAAAATCTATATTCAAACTTAATATTGTAATATATAATGTACAATAATACAATATATAAAAAAAATGACTACTTTGAAAAATTATTGTTTAACTAATAATTTATATACTATTAGCTTAATAAAAATTAAAATTGCCAATTTTATATTTACAAAGTTTTTAATAATCAATACGTAATACAGATATTATTAGTCTAATATAATAATATTCAAAGAAAGAATATAAATTATATTCAATCTTATATATACAAAATACTTATTTATTTAGAAGAAGTAATAGTAATTAATCTATTTTTTATATCAATTTCAAAATTTATTAAGAGTAGGTATATATAATATGAGTGCGTGAGAATAAAAACCTGTAACTGATCATAGTAAATCATTATAATCAGTTCCAGGTTTTTATTCTCACGCACTCATATAATCTGCATGGTATATTGAATTTTTATATAGTAAATAAAAAATACTTCTGATTAAACTTTTTAATATCTTATTTAATTTTTATTAAATTTATATAATATGTAGTTTAAACTAGTTTGTTTATAATAGTAAAGTTATAGAATATATATTGCTTTAAAAAAATAATCTTTATATATAATCAAAGTTTTTGGTATTATTATATATTTTTTAGAGTTATACAGAAATTGATAATTTTGATTAGTCAAATTATATAATATTTATATATAAATTATATGATATTATATACAAAGTTGATCTACAATCTATTTATATGAAATTAGAAATTTGTATATTTTATTCTTAAAAACAAAATTAGAAGATTTCTTAACAAACAATATAGAAAACAATCTTTATGATACTAAAGAAAAAACTTAATACAGAAAATTACTTCAAGTTTTTTTGTAAAAAAAATTGAAGTTAGTTAAATCTAAAAAAAATAAGACTCTTTGCAAGATTTTATAAAAAATTTTAGAAAATTTACAAATTTATTCTAGACCTTGTAAATCTAACAATGCAAGGTGTATGACAAGTAATTATTAAAAAATAAACAAAATAGTCTAGAAAGTACAAACAGATACAACAACAAATAAACAAACAAATAATTACTATTGGCCATTGCTTATAGTATTTAGGATCTTATTCAATAACATCATTTTTAAAATTAAAAAGTACTGGGTACTATTTATGAATTCAGTAATCTTATTGGTAGAAAAGGAGGATATTTTATATAGTAGAATACTATTTTTGAAGGATATTGTAAGCAGTAACAAATAGTATATACTATTTTAAAAATTATTAATATTTAATAACAACAAATAGCAATTACTTTAGATGATTATTTAAAAAACAATAGAGAACTTTAGAAGTTTCTAGAAACAAATAGAAACTGAAATAACAAAACTAATTTTAAACAAGCTATTAGCATATATTCATAAAGCAAGTAAGAAAGTATTCAAATATATAAATCATAACAAGTTAATAAAAAATTTTTAAATCTATATACCAAATAAAGCCAGATAATATAGATCATCTAGCCAAAGATCTAATAATAAGAAACTCAAACCAAGTAATAGTATATGAAGTTTTATTATATATTAAGTAAGAGATATCTTAAGAGTGACAAGTATAGTTTTATACAAAGATGCAAGAAACAATCTAGTATTTGTCAAATATATATAGTTAAATCTTCCTAAATACAATCTTCATAAATACAATATCTCTCTAAATACATATTTTTGTCTTGGCTATATGAAATCATTAGTGCTAAATATATATTCTATATTCTGCAAATGTATATTTATTTAAAAGATTTTTATATTATACTAACCTCCCTAAATATACGTAGCCAGTCAGAAATTAGTATTTAAATTTGTTATATAAACTTGCAGATTAAATATTAAAAGCTACAATTTGATTGGCTCTCTCTAAATACAAACCTCTCTAAATGTATATTTTAAACTAGTCTGTATATAGTTTATTCTCATTATAGTAAACTTTATTAAACTAGATCTCTTACTATAATGATATATTTTACCAGAACCAAAATTCTATTATTTATTTTCTCTCACTATTACAGATTTTCATATAATAATTTTTTATAATAATTGCAAATTAAGTTGTGCTACCAAGCATATATACAAAATTTTGGCTATCCCTTAAACTGTCTAGCAGGCAAATTTGACTACTTAAATTATTTTTTAAAAGTTTTTTTAAAATTTATTTAAGCTTGACCCCTATTTATTGAATAAAATTAAAGATATTCTTTTTAGAAATAATATATTTAAATTTTATTATTCTATCTTTAATTTTGATCAAGATATTATATTTTTAACAAAATTTATTTTTTAATTTTTTTATTAAAATTTTAAAAAGTTTCTTAAAATTTTATATGTTTCTGAAAAGAAATTTTTTAATTACTACTAAGTAAAGTCTAAATTTTGCTTAATAAATTATAAAAGTTATAATAATAAAAGTAGTATAATTTTAA